GTAGGGGGAGCTCGTTCAGAAAACATGTGATGACAAAAATGAAAACCAGCGAAGAAATGGCTAGAGTTGCCAAGTTCCCCTTTAATGGAGCCCGCCAGTCAGGGATTTCTAAAGAACTAGAACTAAACCAGGTTGTCAGAAACACTCCTGTGCTAGTTGATAAACAAATAATATATCTCTTCCCTTCTCAAAATTTTTTGAAGTTCATTTCGGTGACTTTAAGGACCATAAAGAGAACATATTCCTTTTCAAAATGAGTCACATATTGAATCACTCTTCCATTGATTCAATAAGGCTTTAAAATAGTTTAAAGGAGGGATTGAAATACAGTGAGATGGACAGACAGACAGGCTGTCATATATGCTGAGACTGAGAGAGATACGACACACTTGCCCATCGATCCATGTCTGGAGGCCGGGGGGGTCGGAGTGGGAGAGTTAAGACTCTGAAATTCTGGAGGCTTAAATCTGATCTAAACTACATTTGTCACTTTTCTGCAGAATTGGCCTCGATATTTATGGCTCTGAGAATGGGCCTCCCTTCTGATTCGTTTTGGTAGCGGCCGTCCAAATTGCCTTCCCAGAGATGCAGGGTGAGCCAAGAAGGGTGTAATGGCCCTCTGTCATTTCCGACATGGCTCTGCTCAAATTGGCCCGTGGTCACTCTCACTCCCTTGCACACACACATATAAGCCAAATCCAAACTTGGTTTGGCTCTTCACCTTCAAACTGGTGGTCGAATGAAGGTACTGTTCGGAGACATACTGTGTTTTGCTTGTCATGGTGTACAACATTTCCATGTGTGGTTTTGTTTTTACCGACATAGTGTGACATAAAATGGGTAGACCTGACACTCACCTTGGTTTTGAAATATAATAATTTCTTTGCACACTTCTTTGCACAGGAATGCTGGTGGACATCTTTGGTCACTACAAGTACCTTTTCTTCATGTGTGGCTCAGTGATCGTGACTGGCGGGCTCTTTCTTTTAGTCATGAACATCTTCAACTACCACATGCTGAAAAAAGAGGAGATGGCAAAGGACAGAGAGCAGAACCAAAAAAACATAGAGAACAAGGACCAGGTGGAGATGAAACAGACATCTGAGGCAGCGATGGAACAATCTGAGCCTGAGGGTAAAGAGAAGAACGGAGCCCGGAGAGATCCATGTCCAGAGAACGCATTAGCACCAAATGAAATGTGATTCCTCTATTTAGCATGCATAACAGGGGCACATGTATGTAAGTGTGTTTGCAGGTGTGAATGCAACTCTATTCCAAATTGCAGCTTGCCCATCAGCCATGTTTCCATCCAACTGTAGCACAAATTTTAACCAAATTTCAAAATTTATCAAATTTTAATGGGACTTTCCATCCACTACCATTATGCAAATATTAGCAGTTTGTTCATCAGGATAAACAGCTGGTGGTGCTAATCCTCCGGTCAGGTGGCATTAAATCCTTGCAGAAGAAGAGGGCGCAGTCAAACCTCAAACAGTTTTTTAAGCACAAATTGAAAATGCACATATAAACAGGTGGATGGTGCACAGTCATTCACTCGATCTGTTAATCAACAGTCATCTCAGCAACTGCGCACTATAACAACACTGGCTTTAAGCTAAATGCTAATGTCAGCATGCTAACATGCTCATAATGACAAAACAGGTATACTGTTTACCATGTTCACCATCTTAGTGTACTGTGTTAGCATGCTAACATTAGCTAATTATGGCTGATGGGAATGTCAGTTTTGCAAGTATTTTCTCCAAATGATGATGGAGCTAGATGAAAAGTCAGGGACTCACCAGATTTCTTTTACAAAATTTCATGGCAGTCTAACCAATATTTGTCGAAATATTCCTTAAAAACCCAAATATCAACCGCATATTGAGGAAAACTCAGAGGATCTTCAAAGTCTGTGGACCACGATTGTTAGAACAAATTTCTAGTTTCCAGTAAATCCTACACACTGGTCCTTTAATATCTGAGAGTGAATGTTTGCTGTAATTAACTTATTTTTTTCAAATGATCATGAATGCACACATCTGCTTTTCTGCTTTGTTATTCAATTTAACTGTTTCACTGTAATCTGTCTATGAAAATATTGTTTTTGTGGTAATGTGCTTAGTCTCAGGAGACTTGCAGTGTTACAGGTGTAACAGGATGATTTATCCTTTATTTGTTTACCTCTTTAGTTACTTTTAAAGCTGTGGTAGTTGTTTTTTTTGTGTCATTGGGCAAATCTTCCATACTAACCTTTCATAATATTGTAATTGACGTGTTCTGAGAGAAAGCAGAGAAAGAGGTGGGAGGTTTTGCACAACTTTTGCCTACTGCACCTTTAAATGAATACTAAATAATACTGTCAATTGCACATACAGAAACAAAACCTCTTTCTGAAGTGTGATATTGACTTATGATCATTTGTTAATCTAACAGCAAATAATACTGTCTTTTAAAAGTTTTTGTCAGTTTTTATTTAATTTGAACTTTAATGCTAAAACACATTATAAGCTATGATGTGTGGTCCACTGTAATGTCGTAATGCTGTGTTGACATTTAGAAGTGACATTTGTTATCTGGGTGAGAATGGATTTGCATGCACTGTTAATTGATTTGAGGCTCTGTGTATTAGTGCATGTGAGTCGGAGTGGGACGGAGTAACAAAAATACAAAGTGTATTACAAATAATCCAAAATCTAGTTATTTTAAGTTTATATGTTAAGGTGATGGCAGCTTTTTGGATTCTGTGTTCCTGAGAATTCAATGAAAGCTTTAGTTTTTGATTACT